CCGTAGCCAGGGGGGTTAGGGGTTCGAAAGGACCGCCCCTTTAGCTGGGAAAAGGTCCACTTTTTCAGAAAAAGAACCCCCCTTTTTAAATTGCTGGGTACGGGCCTGATACGAACCCACAACCATTTCCATCCCCAACTAACCCCAACCCCAACCGCTTCCAACCTGATATGTATGTATTACCCGCTCTCTCCCGCCTGATAACTTCGCGCATGTCTTAGATTAATATCAACCAATAATTGTGATGTCTTCCGTCTTGGTTATAATTTACGTTACTGGTTTTTAGTATAAGCACTTAAGCACTGCGTACTTAAGTCTCATAACAGATAACAGAATAAATTAAATAAGAAAATATTCAAGCCAAAGACGGTTACTTAGTTAAGGAAGTCAGGTTGTTCAACATCTGATTAGAGTTAATCAGTAACCCGCCGGCGTACTACCGGCCACTTCAGCAAACATATTACGTGCTGAGGACGGCGTTATCACTACACGCGTCGGTCACAGGTTGCCCATTCCTATACTAATAATCCAGCTAGTCCTCCCCGACATTGTACTTTAACCGGGTACCACTATTTCATGAGAGATGCAGTCATGGGCATGTGACACGAGAGACGCGTTGAGAAGAAAAATGGCGAACAGTGCCAAACCGGCGTCTCGGACGGCGCTAAGAGGTTATGTGTTTCTCTGTGTGGTATGGCTGACTGTGGGCGCCGCCAAGGGACAGACACCTCAGAAATTGGACTGCAAGAAGGCGGGGCCGTGCACCTGTAACAGCGCCAACGGAGTGATCGACTTGACGCCTCTAGCTAACTCGGACAACACACCGCGGTAAGACTTGGACATGGACTTTTTAACGTGATAACTTGCCTAATCTTACAAACATCTGATTTACTTTTATTATGTGTATTCTTAACATGTATTGCCGAGCTGTCAATGTCAATATGTTTTGGATATAGCTTTTTTCCACTGAAGGTTCAAAGAAAGACGATTTCGATGGCCGGCTGGGGGGTGGGTAGGATGGGGGGGGGGGGGTTGAATGTTACCTGACATGAAATTGGCCTGCCTATACTGGTTTATCGAAACAGCACGAGGCAGCTGTCAACATGCCTAACAATTTATTGCGAAAAAGGACAAAAATCCTTATTAATATCTGTGAGTGATAAGTAAGACCAATGTTATAAGTATTGATTAAATAATTATCTTAAACAAAGGAGTGATAGTTGAATTGATCAATCATACTCATGAGATAATACAAATAACTTTGACATTAATATGTTTCCCGCACGGTTAAATAAAAGCACTGTCTCTAATACAATGGAAAGCGCTGGTGGTTAACTAAAATTATATTGCTTCAGTAAGAATTATACAGTCTCTATCAGTCATATCAAAACCTGTCATATCTACTTGACCTTCATGTAACTTGTCTTATTTACCAAGGGTATGTGCCTGTTTTCGACAAACCTAGTTTTATGTTTTATTTAGAATGGCCCCAGACGAGTTTTCTCTCGAACAATCATCTCATAGAAACTGATTTATATCTCCACCATATTTGACATGTACCATTTTCCTGGGGGAGGGTGGGGTGGGGTGGGGGTGGGGGGTTACATGTAAGTACCCGACACACTGGACCAAAAAATAAAGTTCTACTTTGGGCTAAAAACAGTTAAGAAGATATAAATAAGCGAACATTGGCCATTTGATAAAAACATATTACGGACCTAAAAGATAACTGCATTTATATAGTATCAATTATAAACAGCGGGACCCAAAGAAATACTTTCCTTTGAATATCTTTCCATGGACCGATCATACGCTTGCATGAATAAAAAACTACCATTTGGCATTAATATAATAAAATAAAATAATAAAACTTAACAAAACGGGACAACACTACTAAAGTCACTGTATGAACGGTTAGGAGTAATTACATAAATGTACAGTTGTTTCCTTGTTGCGATTGATTGTGATGTATGAGGGCAAACAAATGCCTGTTATATCAAAGAGAAAGGATTTGAATTCACACAAGGATTTTTTTAGACTGGAAATTGACCTAACTTGGGTCGCCGGACAACAGGACCTCCCCGTATTCTAATCGAATTTTAATTTTACGCGGGTACAGGAAACAATAAATGCATTTGGAACACCCAAACCCAGTAAAGAGGTGCAAATGAAGCCATAATTAAACAAATGAAGTTATAATTAAGCATGACTGAATCGCTACTACATAAATTGGAACACGATACAAAATACATAAATAAATAAAAAATTATATTCCGTTACACAACCGTGATAACCGGAACAACCTATCTACTTAGATACAGATATAGACATTGTAAAAAGTTACAAACAAATATAAATTTGAGATAGTCGTAGATTTTTGTTTTATGCACAGACTGTATGTGTTTTCAAAAATAGAATAAAACCTCGAATTCAATTAATTTTGTTTTTGATACCCCAGCATGTGCATTGCACCTCTATATTGGGTTTGGGTGGGAAGCTGTGAGACACATCAAACGTTACCCGTTTTTCTTTCAGTTTCAAGGATGTACCTGGAGGCGGGGATTCATTTTCCTGGAATCCGTGCAATCCGTTTGACGAAGGAAGTGGGTGTGCCAAAGTCTCGGTAATTGATGTGCTCATTGGTATGGGTGAAGACCTGTGAATAACACATTTTGTATTACCTCACATGTTCTTCTTCTTTTCCAATTTTGTATTCTGTCTCTCTTTCTCCTCATCTCTCTCTCTCTCTCTCTCTCTCTCTCTCTCTCTCTCTCTGTGTGTGTGTGTGTGTGTGTGTGTGTGTGTGAGAGAGAGAGAGAGAGAGAGAGAGAGTATGGAGAAAGCAATACAAATCAGGTAAAGAGATACTTCACAGAATAACAATATAATATTCAGCAGACTTTATCATGCTAGGCGTGCCAGAATCACGAGGGTTCTGCTCAGTATGCAATTGGGACGCAGGATTCTGCTGAGTTCATACTCGACCAGACACGTGGCCTAGAGCTCCACTACAAAGCAACGGCCGACTCCGTCACCCGGTAGTAGACAATGCAATACAGAACACTCTTCCCACAGGGTCCTCGTTTTGGTTTTACTGAAAACGAGTTCTTTGTGAGGATGGCGATTCTCTTGCATGGCTTTCATTATATATTAAACCTTTATATGCTTCTGCTGTGGACATCCAGCTATGAAAATAAGCCCTCTGCAGAAATATACGCCATGTGCTTCTTTTGTCAAAGGACAAGGGGGAGAATAAACTGAAAACAATTTCTATTATGAAAAATAATTTAAAAAAAAAACGTTATTTTTGATGCCTCAGCATATTTCAGCTTGCCATTTTAATTCCAACTGCAAATTGAGCTAAACGCATTGACTCCATTTCTTTACTGAAATGGCGAAATGTTCAAATATCTTAGTACATTTCTGTCAACATTGGCATATTTTCCAGGCATGTCAGAATCATGCTGGCACAGACGACTACCCAATAGGGTTGCAAGAGTCAGCGGAATTTATAAACGATCCCACACGAGGCCTTGAAATCCATTATACTGCAACAACGGATTTCACCCAAAGGTAGCCTCTCCTGCTCCAAATGTTTCAGTGAAATTTCGTGAATTATCCAGAAAAAATTATCAGCGTCATACACCAAACGTAAATGTGCAACAGATATATACATGTTTCGTGATGCAGGAAGGCTTGTTTTATTTCAAATTTAACTTTTTGGACAGGTTTGCGTTTGATTATTGAATTTTAACGCACAGTTACACTCACGCTACGAGAATACCCCTATTTATATTTATTTTTAATGCCAGAAAAATTAATGAGAAAATTGATATTTTCAATGTTTAAAACAAGCATTATGATTTCGACTTTAATTTGTAATTATCTTTGTTTTAATCAAAAATTAAATGCTTATTTTTTTCTTATGATCAAAACACGGATTCACAAATTTTTAGCGCAATGGATGATGAAACACACACAGTCGCACCATTCATAACAGAAGGTAAAATTGCTAAAAATGATCCCATCGATATCATGATGAATCCAAATGCAATCAAGTGATTGAAATCACGACACGTGCACCATTTTTGTTCTAAAGATTTCTTGGATTTTGTAGGCCAGAGAATATTAAGTACTCTAGTGCTCGTGTACCTGCTCCCTGCACTTAAGTACCCCGTTCCGTTTAGTACACCATTCTAAGAAACATCCTACAATCAAATTGCAATCATAGTTATACAATGCATGCACGCATGATAACAGTTCTTGGTCCGGTTTTACAAAAACACACCGAAAGCTCCAAAATTGGTCTTCAGTTGCACACCTTATGTCCAAACTAATTTAGTTCAAGATGAACCCATAATAGTCCAGTAAGTACAGTAAATTCTCAATCTTTTCAATGGGAAAATTTGTGAATTTTACAGATACTGTATTAAAAGCCATAATAATTTTGAAATTAGAACATTCCTATTGTGTGGTAACAAAAATGAGAATTAAGCAGGCTTTCTTATAGTTTTATTCTGTACAGAAAAAGCAAGCACCACAAATGCTTCACAGAGATATATTTTAATGATTCCAAAATTATGTATCTGAAAAAAAAAGATCATTTTCTCCATGTAAAAGATCGAGTCATTACATGAAACACAAAGCACGCCTCTGTTGTTATAAAACAGACGCAATACAATGGGGTTACAACTGTTGTACCTTGGGTAAAAGCAGATCTTTTTTTTCTAATAGAAGTTGAGACCAGTTTTGGAATAAAATGTGCCTTTGAAACAGGCCCCTCGAGCTAGAAATGCTTCAAAATCACGCGATTTTCCGTGCACACCTGCTGCAATGCTTCTAATCAGGGGCCCGTAGCTCGGAAGCATCGTGTATTGGAAAAGCGATATCACATAGAGGCTACAGTGTATTATATGGGGCAAGTATGAGCATGGAATGGAATCGAGACGCTTGCGCTCGGTCGCAATGCGCGATGCTTTCGAGTTACGGGGCCCTGCTCTCGGTAAATGCCAATGGCACTGTTAAAGCAATCCAGGCCAGGGTTTTGAACACCTATTAAGTGCACGAATTGCTACTTGTTAAACGTTACTGCGGCACTTTAAAAACATATATTGACAGGTAAATAGTCTTCATCGATAAAGCAAAAAAAAAAAAAAAAAAAAAATCATTAAATTTAAGTTTTGGTGGGAAAATACTGACTTGGAATGCTTTAATCACTACTGTTAAGTAGTAAAAGATCGTTTTTATTATATAATGATCTCAGCACCATCAGCATCAAAACGTTATACAATGGAATCAGCACCATAAGTGTTATGCAAGTTCTCAATAACCTAGCACCGTAATTGTAATATATACATGTACCAATACATATTCTCGTCACCAGGTGCACCGTAAGTGTTATACAATTTCTCAGCAGCATCAGCACCAAAAGTCGTACACTGAACACAATTAGCAAACTTAAATATTTTATACGTAATGTAAAAGATTTGTTGATAAATCAATAATTATTTAACAAATTACCAAAACATTAATTTCGAACGCAATGCTGTGTTTTCCAGGGAGTCATTCGTTCAGCTTATTTGTGATATGGGCACTGAAGGCTCGCTGACTGCCAAAGGAGAAGATCCTGCTGGTTCGGCACAGTATGTAAGTCTCTCTCCTTCTCTCTCTCTCTCTCTGACCAAACACGCTGGCAAACCGAATTATGATAATCTGCCACAGTATATTTGTTAAAGTAATTAGAAGTAAATGATATCATTTATCTATTATAGTTAAATGACCAACTCGTGTCGTGCCTCGGTGTCTAAATTTAAAACTTATCATCTTTGTTATAATATTGCGTATTTCATTTTAATCACTATCTTGTGTTATTCATTTTATTCTCCCCCTAATTATCATCCAGTACATGACGTTAACGAGCAAGTACGCATGCCCAGGAGTGTCCGGCGGTGGTATTAGTGCAGGCAGTGTACTGCTCATCATGTAAGTAAGGAGGCATTCAGAACACGTTGATCCGCGAATTAAAAAGATCCGCAGATCACATATGGCTGACCCAGTTGAAGGCTTGCTGCATAATCCCCTGATAGACTCCTACCGGGCATTACGTGGTTAGCTTTCAAGTGGGTCGGCCATATTTAATCCGCGGATCTGTTAGTCCGCGGATCAACTTCTGTTGTGAATGCATCCTAAGACTGACAACGCGGCGGGCTCTGATGGACGGCCGCATTTGGTCTAAATGACGTCACAGATATTTATTGTAAGCAAGCATGCACCCACAAAGAATAATGCCATGCAGTTAACTTTTGCGTCGTGGTCAGGCGTTGTGGTTACTATACCGCTTTGATTCCAATGCACTCTGATGGAGACGTCGGTTTAACTGAAGCGGCGTTAACGGGGATAGAAAGAGTTTTTAGTAACGCTAAATAATTGTTGTAAATTTTATAATGGACAATTTAAGACAGATTCTGAAATTAGAACAGAGCTACATGTACATTCACACGCACCAGCCGACCGAGCGCTTTACTATGAATTTACAGAAATTGTCGATTGCAAAGTTGTAGATCCATACATGTAATGTTGCTCCCAATTTTTGACCACCTTCTGTCTAGTAAGATGTTGTCTTTTTCTTTCAGTTTCTTCAGTTTAGTAGTCGTATACATTTTAGCTGGCATGGCCGTTATGAAGTTCGGCAAAGGTGCAGCAGGGAGAGAACTCATTCCCAATTATAGCTTTTGGAAAGGTCTCCCGTTTTTGATACGGGTAAGAGGGCGAGGGGGCGTGCGAGGCTGACTCAAGGGTACTGTTAGGGTTAGCCTAAAATCCTTATATTTACTGCCTTACACATTATTTTGGATATGAGATAAATCATCAGTTTTCCCTGACTAAATTCCTGAGCATTTACACAAATGTCATCTTAGGGGTGACGTCATAATTGCGATTTGGGGGTAAAAAATCGGTTGTTCAAATTTCTGTTTTACCTGCGCACTCACGAACACCGGTTGAACAACAATTTTATGACACTATTGAGTACTTCAAAAAGCTGCCAGCTACTTTTTTTAAAGCCTTAGTTCAGATATTATCGTGTCATCATTTGGGCCAATTTTCGTGATAAGATATTGTTCAGGGATGGAGTTAAAACCCACACTAATAACGTTGGTTTTATTCACCTCCAAACATGAAGGTGTTAAACTGACGAAAAACGTTTTGAAATGCCTAGCAACAAGCCGTAGCAACAAGAAATATAAAAGTCGATGTTTTATATTTTCGAAGGGTTTTTTTATTGATTTTAATCAGCACAAAATTAGATGCATAATTCAATAATTTGATGCGCGGGAAAAAAACTGGTTTTCGGTATCTGGATGATTATAAACCCTTACAGTACCCTTCACGTTAGTAATGAAAAAGCTAAAGTGAAATGAAAATGAGCCAGCCAAATTGAATTATCCCATTTTAACCAATGCCCACTCCTTGGATAGAATTATTATTTAAAATCTTTACTTTTCCAGTTTCTTTCTACTATTAAAACGTACAAGTAGATTATAACCACACTGTGTAATGGCACATAATCTCCATACCTTTCTCTTTTTTACACAGGATGGCATTATGTTTGTAGTAGGAGGATGCAAGCCAAAGAAAGGGTACGACTCCATATAGAATCTGAACATTTTGGACAAAATTGATGAAAAATTATAGCAATAAGTGAAAAAGGAGCCAGAATTGTCTACATCAGTCTGTAAGCGCAAGCAAATATAAGGAAATGATCACTGAAGATCACAAGAAACAGCAACAATGTATGGAGCTGTCTCAGTTGTTGCCATGGAAGCATACGTTGCCATGGGAACCTTGAACGGAGAAGACAATGTAGTAGACGGTTTTGTTATTATATCTGATATCAGGGACTATCGTGAACGTTTTGACATTAGGATACAATACAATCAATACACTTTATTGTGAAATTTTACAGATTTCTGCAGGCCTTTTTGTACATAAGGTTCAAAGGGAGTTTCCACTTTTTGGCAATTCCTAGTAAATCCCACATTGCTTTCTTTTGAATGCCCATCAGTATCAGTAAAAATCACTTTAGTACAGGAGGATAAAACTCAACTGTGGTGTATTTTCTCTTAATATTTCAAAAGGGGCTCCAGAAAATGTCTATTGTAATTAAATGTCACAGTACCCAAGTGAAAAAATCTAATAACTTAGACTAGGAAAACAGTATGAGCTCAGTGACGCCTTAAAATGGTTTTCTTTGTGACAAATCTACATTCTAGTGACAGAATAAACGTTTTTATAACAATCATTTATTTTATCATGTGCTTGCATCTGATCATCTGGAAATTGTACACAGACATAAGACAATGTAACAATATAATACTTCATATTTTGAAGAGAAATAAGAAGAGATGTTGGATTATCACTGCTTTTATCTCCGGCATACTTATATTAATAAGTTAATGATTTTAGTTGGGGCAATGTGCAAAAAGCATTTTTCCTTCTTTACAATCAAACTGCAGATATACAGAAAGAAAGAAAATATTAATTCTCTTTTATATTTATACAGCTTCAATTAAATGCTGAAAGAGGAAAAATTCTTCTACATCTTACTAACACATGAGTTTTTCTTCACACTCACATATTCCACTCTTCTTTTTCAGTACGTTTTCACAATCCCACCACAAAAGCTTAAAGTGCATTAAAGGGAATGCACAAGGGATTATGAAGGATAAGTACTTTGGACCTATCTTTCCTTGGGTCATCCAAAATTTCCAAACTCCAAACTCAAAATTGCCTTTCAACCATATTTGAGAGCCACCATTTTCCTTCACTCTGCTAAAAGAAAGAGTAACTGTTACAGGCTGCAGTAAATTCAACACTATAAAATGAAAATGATGTCATCAGGCATTTGTGTATGTCATCTAAAACAAACAATAAAGCTTCAAGACAATGACGTTTTCATATAAAATGCCTTTAAGGTACCATGCACAAAAGCAGTATTGTCAGACTTCTATGTCAACTCTTGATACACATGACACATTTGATGTCATAGTATTTAACACTTTAAGAGTTTCTAGAAAGTCATTTGCATTTTTAAAAATTCTCACTATTGCACATGATCCAAACCATGCCTCCGTAACACAGCACGTGTACGAGCACATGCTGTAGATTCTGGCAGGAACACTTCTAAGAGTGACTTCTCCTGTTGCTTACACCTTTAATATCATCATGACAATTTTAGTGTATATAGCACTCTATCCCTCAACACCCTGCTGTCATTAGGAATTAACAAATGAATTTTCAAACAAGTTAAAATTGAGATATTACACACACACATATATATATATATATATAAATACCGGGTATAACTGAAGGTTTGTGAATGATACACCCATCACTAGCAATACTCGTTTTATCCTGTGCTATTTCCCAGTAATCATTTCATATGTATTTTGTATTTATGTAGATGTTATAAAACTTAAAGTAGAGAGTAGAGAGCCTGTAAAATGTAACCTGTACACATTTTAGTGCTCAAAGATTATTATTAAATCTGTCAAACAGATATCCCTAACACAATCATAATGAAAGTCAGGTTACTTCACAATGCAATCTGTTTGATAGCTGTATATAAATATGTATAGATTTGATTATCACAGTATTCCTCTTGGTTTAACAATATCCTACTAAGCTAAAGAACCTAAATATAAAATGAATTTTAAATTAAGAATCAGATTCAGTATTCTCAATACTGGAAAAATATCAACTTTCAACATGCAGATAAGTATCTATTTTCCTCTAAAACACAAGAAGCACCTATAAATATTTTCTATGGCAAATGTATGTAATGCAGCACCTGCATTATCAATATATTCTTGATTTTTCCTTTCAATAGAAGAGGTAAGTGGACAAATTGCACACTAAATGCTACTAGAACGTTGCAAATCTCTGCATAGTCAGCTAAACTGTGACTATTTGTATTATGCCTTCTTGTCTCGATTTTGATCCACGGCTACTTGCAGTTGACTGAAAACTGCACATTTTTTTGTATTTTTGCTGAACACATATCTCATCACTGTGCTTTGCTTGTCTCATTTCTCCAGTGCTTTTTTCATTTCTACATTCCTATCCACATTCAGTCAGGGTTCTCTCTGTAAGGTAAAATGTTCCAAGATCCTTGTCTAAAAAAAAACAGCAGCTTTGAGATTTCTGCAGCCATTACAGTAACTAAAGTCTTCCTCTGCATATGAGTTTAAAAAAGACCAGAGGACCCAGGTCCAGCAAATTATCTGGACATCATAGGAATTATAACTGACACTTTTGTCAAAACACATTTTCTTACTGAGCACTTTGTATTCGATTCTAAGGGTACCATTATAACTGGCTAGTCCATACTTCATGGTACCATTATACCAGACAAGGCAAAACTTCACTGTACCATTACAGCAGGCTAGTCCAT